ACCGGCGGTTTCCCGGTTGGCCGGCTCAACCGGCGGTTTCCCGGTTGGGCGGCTCAACCGGCGGTTTCCCGGTTGGCCGGCTCAACCGGTGGTTTCCCGGTTGGCCGGTTGAACCGGCGGTTTCCCGGTTGGCCGGCTCAACCGGCGGTTTCCCGGTTGAACCGGCGGTTTCCCGGTTGGCCGGCTCAACCGGCGGTTTCCCGGTTGGGCGGCTCAACCGGCGGTTTCCCGGTTGGCCGGCTCAACCGGTGGTTTCCCGCCAGTTCAACCGGCTGTCTCCCGGTTGCCCGGTTGAACCAGCGGTTGACACGGTTGACCAGTTGAACCGGCGGTTGACACGGTTCAACCGGCCAACCGGATCAACCGCCGGTTCACCCGGTTGCCCGGTTGAACCGCCGGTTGAGCCGGCCAACCGGGAAACCGCCGGTTCACCCGGCCAACCGGGAAACCGCCGGCTGAACCGGAGGTTTCCCGGTTGCCCGGTTCAACCGGCCAACCGGCCAACCGACCAACCGGGCAACCGGGACAACCGGCGACCGGACACATCCGGTTGAACCGACTCGTCTCGGTTAGTCGGCCGGCCGGATACTCCTAATGGTTATGTTGTCTTCTTTTGTTCTTTGTCCCTTTTCTTTTGGTGAGGCCGGACATCTGGATCGTTCTCCCGGTTTGACCGCATGGGCCTCCCGGGCCGACCACGCCGACCACGCGACAGGACTGTGTGCTGCAACACACTCCGGTGCTTTGGGCCGCCAGCGCCATCGGGCAGATCAACATCGCAGTCAGCTGCGGCGCCACGTTGTGCATCAGTGAGGCCTTTGACCAGGCGGTCTGGGAGAGCTTTGGGTGGCAAGGCCATGGCAACCAAGTCCTCCTGGTTTTTGTAACAGTTTTTCAATTCTGCTTCAATCAATTCACAAAGAAGCCTGTCTCCGAATCCGCTTTTTTTTATTTGCTTTTTGGGCTTCACAGATCCTCGAATCAAGCCGCCCTTCAAGGAAGCTGCATCTCCTCTCCGCCCCACCCACCACACCAACCTCTCGCCATCCTCCCACCCCCCACCCCCTCGCGTCCTTGATCGCCCGGAAGGAGTCCATCGTCCGCTCCGGCGCCTCGGTGCTGGGCTCGGTGCCCAGCGCGCTGGAGGCGCTCGACGCGGGCGCCTCGGCGCTGCAGGGCGTGCGCTGGGTCTTCACCTGGGGCGAGGCCATGGCGCCCACGGTGGCCCAACGGTGGCGCTCGGAGAGGAGGAGAGCGGTGGAATTGCTGATCAGTGCCTTGGAGGATCTTGGGAAGATCTTGGGAAGATCTTGACATAGCCTCGGAACAGTGTGTAGGTAGAAGGAAGATGGCAAGGATTAAAGTTGGAAACAGTTTGAAGCCTTGAACTTCCGGGCAAAAACAACTCCAAGAAAGGATCCATTGCAAGTTTTGTGATTTGCGGCGTGTTTTTTGCAACGACTTCAGGGCTGCCGCAACGGCACGGTAAGCGCCATAAGCTCAGCTGTTTGCGTTCGTCCGCTGGAGGTACCGAGTACTGGTTGAGCCTCTACAGCGAGGGCCGCTCTGCGCGGAGCGGGCGCAGCGTCTTCACGGCGGTGGAGGGCGCCGAGGCGCTCGGTTTTCACGCGGAGGTGGAGCGAAGGTTCATGGGGCAGCCGAGCAGCTGTGAGAGAGTCAAAGAAGCGAGAGTCGACCAGAGTTGGTGAAATTTGTTTTCTGATCATGAACAGATGCCTTCAGATTCTTTTCCAACTGAAGAGAAGGGAACAGAAGGTTCGATCCCGGAAGGCACCGCAACACGGATGGCTCAAAGGGGGGTCTCCAGGGTCGGCCTGAAACGCCACGTGTCAGGTGGCGGTGCTGCGAGATGGAGAGCTTTGCAAGGACGGTACTGGAGAGCTGTGCTTGCGTGGGCCCATGGTGACCACCGGGTGCGCTGCCCTTTTCCCGGACGAGAGAGTGCGGAAAGAGGACGTGGATGTGGTTTGGGATCCGGGGGGGAGGATTTGGGGTTTGGGGTGGGTTGATGGAGTTCTCCCAGAGGAAGAACATCATGACACTGAAAAGGAAGAAAGAGATAGATAGAGTGACAAGCAAGCAAAGGGAAGGCACGATATGGAAGGAAAAGAAGAACGGATAGAGAAAGGACTTAGCAGACTTAGCACATGCGAATGGGATGACGCTCTACTTTTCAGGTACCGTGGGGCCTCTTCGTCCGTTCATCCCCCAACGGATGGTGGCGCCTGGAAGCTCAGTGCTTCCCACCGCTCACCGAGCTGCTGCGTGGGGAAAATGCTGTTTGGGTTGGATTTTGGGAGACACAAACGATGAAACTAAAGAGCTGTGCCATGTAGAGGTGACCAATCTTTCCGTTCAGACATCCTGTCCCTTTGCAACGCCACGGCAGACATGTTGACAGTTGACACGCGGAAAACCCTTTGGCTGAGCAAACTCAGATCGGAGCAAACGCAGATCGGGGTCCCTATTTTGTCCCAAGGTTGACATGAAAATCATGAATCCTCATGGGTTACACTCCCTGGAATTGTCACGGAAGTGGAAAACCACTTATCTCTAGTCTACTTCCATGCTTTTCCGCTCTTGCCCGCGCGGGACACGGGCCACGAACATCGCTTCCCGGATCCGCCCGGCGTGTGAGGCGCCCTTCTTCAAGACCTCCGACCTGGTCACTTGGGGCGTCGGACGTCGATGGGAAGGGGTTTTCGGAGTCGATGGACACGTTGGGAGCAAGAGATCCGTCACGTGACGTTGGCTGGGTAAAAAGCCCCACTTGGTTGCTGCCTCATCCTGCCTCCTTGGCTCTCTTGGCTCCTTTTGGGGGGCAGGAAGACCTCAGCAAGTAGACAGGTTTTGGGAGGTTTGGATTTTCCCACTTTGGGGCTGTGCAATGTGAGGAGTCTCTTTTGTTCTGCATGGGCATCGACAGTCCTGTGTTGGCACACTCCTCCCATGGTTCTTTCAGCCTCCACGCATGGGCACTCCGGGTCATGGCACCCCGGGGCAGCCTGGTTGACCCCTCCCATTCCTCCACTAGGTTTTGACTCACGGCCACATTGGCAGCAACGTGTTTCAGATTTTGACTTGCAAAGAAGAAGCCAGAATGCATTTTGGCCGATTTTTGGCATGACCCGATCTGGTGATACACACTGTATGTGAACGGCTTTCATGCGGAAACCCGTCTCTGTGAATAGGATGTGAACAAAATGACCTCGTACTTGCGACCGGCGGTGAAAGCCTACCGGAAAGGTAAAGATTGGTATGCGGCGTGCCAGAAACGCATGCCAAAGCACCATTGTCTTACTATAAAGTTCCCTAAACTTCCATGGCGGAGCCACGATGACTTCTAAAAGAAGAGTGAAGAAGAGTGAAGTGACCACAATTGAAGGAAACAACATGGAAGCTTCGGACTTCGGCACTTTGGTCTTTGGTCTGACCGCCACGCTTCGCTTCAACCCAGGTGACCCTCAGCTCTGGGGCGCGGTCGCTGGAGTTTCGAGGGCGCAGCGACATGCTCATCAAGGCGGGAGCCGGGAGGGTCTGCTGCCTGCGTTTGGATCCTGAACCACCAGCATGCGGGCGGAATGCTTGTTCTCTTCTGACCGGGATGTGCTGGCTTCGTTTTGGCTTCGCCAGCTGTGCTTGGGGAAGTGATCGAAACTCAGAACGCCTTGATCTTCCCCAGTTGCACGTCGCACGGTTTTCGTTTGCGTGCTGGGCCAGTGGCCACAGAGGCTACACTGCCTAGATCTTCTGGTACGAAGGATAACGAAGAATAACCTACTGTCACCTACTTCTTTACCTTGACCGTCCTTTATTGTACTCTTGGATCCTTAGCACCTTTGGTTATGAAAACGAGGGGCGCATGGCAAGTGAACAGTCTTCTTGTACCTTTCCGCTTGATCCAGATCCAGTCTCAGTTGTGGGGGGACCAGACGGAGCAGCTCCCAGATGTTCTTCCCCACGGCTAATGCAGGAGCTGAGGGGCTCCGTCTGGCGCACCCAGCTGGTTGCTCCAAGTCTCGGGTGATAGGTCACAGGTGAAACCATCCGTCATCCCATGGTTCGACGGGGGCCTTCGAAAAGCGGCTGCTTGGCCATTCGTCTCCAAGTGGTGACCAAACGAAGATATCATATGGAAAGCTAGAGGTAGAGTTCCCCATGTTCTAGTAAGCCATCAACGATTCCCCTAGATCCCAGTTCCACCTTCTCAGCCAAGCTCCAACACATAAGGGTGGGCATCTTTCCAGTCGCTTCCTGGGCGAATCCACCAGCCCCCCCAAAGTGGGACAACGACCGACTCACGCGGCGCTTCCCGACGTGTTCTTCCGACCCCACCGACCTGGACCGACCCGCAGGTGGGCGGACAGTTCGTGGACCTGCTCGAGGCCGAGGAACGCCTCCCCGCCCTGCTTGTCGGGCCACGCGTGCGGCGCGTTCACGGGCGCGTGCGCTACGTGTGCGGGGGTTCAGACTGGCGGAGCTGGAGCGTCGAACCAGGGGAAAAGGGTCGCTATGGAAGTGGAGTTCACCACCTGCTTGGAGAGGAACATGATGATCCTGGGGGGGTCCATGCTCCACTTCCATGATCACTTTTAGGAGTGTATGGATGGCTTTTCTGATTGTGCTTGGGCCCGGGCCTCCAACCCTGGGATTCTTTTTCGAGCGGAGGGGCTCTGTCGACTTAGGGCGATCCGTGGCAGGTCTCAAGGAAGCCCTGCTGCCGCCAGAGAGTACCGGTGCCGGTGGTTCTGCAGCACGCGAGGCGTGGAGAAGTGCAGTGGGAAGTTTCTGCAACCAAGACAAAATCAGAGAACTCGAGGCAATGGAACCTTTGTTTCCCCATTTTTCCCGAAAGCATTGCGAAGGGTTCTTCCGGAAAATCCTTTGAACACTGACACTTCGACACTTACACTTCTGAACACTGACACTTCGACACTTACACTTCGACACTCACACTGACACACTTACACTTCGACACTCACACTGACACACACACACACTGGAAGAGCGAAAGCATCCAAGTGTGAAGTATGCCAGGGTCAAAGTATGCAAGTGTGAGTATGCAAGCATGCAATGACTATGCAAGGGCAAGTGTGAGTATGGTAAAGATGGAAAGCTAGCACGGGAGATGTCCTAATGAAAAAA